GGGGGGGGGGGGGGGGGGGGGGGGGCAAGGGAAAAGAGGCAGATTTGGTACGAGAAAAAGAAATTATTAGGATATACTTCAGAACGAATGCGCTTTCTCTTGTCCATAAATAACTCATTTAATCTTCTCAAAAGAATATTAATAATATTATGTACCAAGTGTAATTGGATCTCTAAATCAGTGTTTGGTTTTTGTGTTATTTTTGTGGCACGTGCCTCTATGGGACATGCCACGTGGACACAAAAACATGAAATATATCACCAAAGATGGGGGAAGAGGAGCTTTGATGAAGACGGACCGAAATTTTTCCTAAAAATTCATGAAAAACAATCAATTTTTCCACAATTGAACAATTGAACTAAAATATAGTTTTCATTACTTTTTTTTCATAAAATTGGTGAATTTGCAATGACCAAATACCTTGAATTTTCATTTGAACTATCAGACACGAGTGAAAAAATTTTAACAATGCGGAAAATGTACAGAAAATGAAATAAAAGAATGCAATCCCCGCCAAATTTCTCAGGCAGTGCAGTAATCTTCTTCTTTTCCCGTAAACCTTTGCACCCCCAAATGTACCTGAACAGTGCTCCTGGTCGAGTCTGCTTTAATGTCATCGCACGAGTTCCTGAGGGACCGAGGCGCCCTGATGCATGCCATCTCTCACAACACCGAGAATTGTTCAAAAAACTCACGGGTGTATTAAAATGCATAACACTGACTCGAGTCAACCCGCACTTTTCTACTCGCCGAAAAGTGGAGGAGATCGATTGTCCCACCAGCTTCCCGATTAATCCAACCAGAACAGAAAGAACATTCGCATCTCACATCCACTCGTCCCTCCGTCCCGCCGCCCCGAGTGCACCACTCAGCGAATAAAGAAATTACACGATTATCCAATTTATATGATTTATCGTAGCGTCAACAGAACAACGTGAGAGCCCAACAAACACTCGACATGTATCACGAGATAACTATTGTGTTTATCCAATTGATAGGGTATTCCATCAGCCAACGAGACACTGGATTATGCCGTGAATTTTTATGCCGACACATCTTAACTCGTTTATTCGGGATGAGACGGGAGTGGAGTCCTCACCCGGTTAGCAGAATTTGAGTCTTTATACGTTCCAAGAACATTCAAAATTGCAATCATGACCCAATGCACTATGGACCGACTTAAGGATATCCAGGCACTTTGGCTGTTTTTTCTCCTGTGAAATGCTTTTCTACTTTTGTAGTCGAACATTAAAGCCTTCGTTTGAGTCCCATTAGCCCCTACTTTCCGGACATTTCACAATGATTTTATTATTTAAACTTTGCAGGTCTGAATTTGCCTCTCGGTATTAAATCGTTGGAAAAAATTTTTTTAATCTAAAAAAAATTAGAATGTTTACTTCTGGGGGCAGATTAATGAAATGAACAAATTTATTCATGGGAGTATGCAGCTCTTAACCCTAGTCTGGTCACCAAACGCGACCCTGCGACTCTGGTCACCTCCGCGGGGATTCCCCGCCGTATTATTCAGGCTCTAGCGTTGCCGAATTCACTTTACACTGCTCAGGCGCGTTTAGCGCGTTTCCGGCAACGTCGTACAAGGGGCAATTTCGTCTAGTATGGGAAAAAGTAATTCATCTGTTCAATAATTTGTTTTCTTTAGGAATTGCGGGAAATGTGTTGTTCTAAAAACTACTATAATTCTTTAGACACTTCAATTGACAAAGTTAATTAAAAAAAAAAAATTCCGGTCAGCCAGTTAATTGTAATTAAAGAAAAATGACGCGAGGCGGGGTTTCCCTCGTATGGCGACCAATCTAGGGTTAAGGGCGCAATGCGTTAAACTTCATTTTTTCAAAAATGATTATCTCGGAACAATGTTCGGAAACTAAAGTTGACATTGCGTCTGGAAAATACCCTTGGTCTATTCTGCAAACTGCGAAGCTGATTCTCCCCCGAAAAAATTGCCCGAACTACTGGGATATCCTTAAGAACGCTCCGGGAACACGTACACCGCGAACGTATCAGAGATTAACTCCCGAACGTTGCGTTGCTCTCACAAGCACCCGACGGAGTCTCACCGATCGGCTCAACGCACCGGACGTAACTGAATACTCTGGGATACGTCGAGAGACTCATGTGCGTTCGGGGCAACACACGACTGGCCTGTGTACAGATATACCCATCGTCGTAGGTAGATTTTCTGGTCTGTTTCTATACTATACGTACACTCAGGTTCTCGGTGCTCACTCCTACTTCTGTGGCTGCGCTTAGTCGGCTGGGGGATATTTGCATTAGACGTGCCGTGCACGTGACGGAGGTACATCGTTGCCTCCTGCGAGCCGACCACTTTGTGGTGAGTATTTTGACTGACGTGTGAGGGAAATGGGATTTGTTGACTTTCTTTTGAGGATTTCAGGGGGGAGGCCTCAGGCGCCTGCCGACATTATCGAATTTAATTGCCGATTTTTTCGTGTCGAGAATGAAGAGCATTTGTGATCCTATTTGCTTCGGGGCTTCAATTGAAGGCCCGAGTTTGTAGCAGCGATGTCAGACAAGATATGAATGTTTTTTTGAGCTCAAATGAAAGAGCGG